CCGGACAGTGCACCTCCCAAGGACTCCAAGAAGGCCGGGTACTCTGCACTGCTGTTAGGCCCGTAGGCACAACAACACTGAGAGACTTGTCCCCCGCCCGGAGGCTGAGGGACGCGACCCTCTCATTCACCGGGGAGAACTCCAACACGCGGAGCTGAGATGGGGGGCAATGAGTATGGTCAACCCCACGTGGCGTTCAGAGCCCAAAACTGTGTGTGGAGGTGAAGCCGACTATCTTTAGTCGGTATCGCTCAACCTCCCCCACGAGCTTACAATACAACACAATACAATTTATTCTTGTATTTCCCTAAATCACAACAGAAGTCATGTCAGAGACTTAACAAAACCATTGAAATCACCAACACAGATCAGAGAATCAACAGTTAAAACACATGAAGAATATAGAACACATGTTGATAAATGTCATACATGTAGAATGTTAAAGTGTCCTGGATCATCACAGTCCTTCTAGTTGGACACTAACTGCCCAACAGACCGTCCTGCATCAGAGAAACAACTCATAAGAAAACCCAGTGGGAAAAAAGTGAGAAACCTCGGGGAGACCCATGGTTTGAGAAAGGGATCCGCTCCCACGGACGGACGGGCTATAGATCCAGAAGTCAGACTGTAGAACGAGGACTGAGGCTATAGATCCAGGAGTCAGACTGTAGAACGAGGACTGAGGCTGTAGATCTAGGACCTAAGCTAGCTACAGGACGTGGACCAGTGGACGCTGAACGTGGACAGGTCCGGTGCAGGACTGAAGCACTCCCAGGCGGGTCGGGCGGGGCAGTCCGCAGGTGTAGATGGAAGAGGCCAGGCTCAGAGATCCCGTCATCGTACCATGAAACAGACAATGGGACAACGGGTGAATAGCAATGAACAAACTACAGTCAAAATCCTAAAAATGCTAAACAGATAAAGTAGGAAGGAGGAGAGGATAGTGCTCAAGTTACCATACTTCTCCAGCAGGGGGCGCCCTATGCAGCTTGACTGACACTCTGAGGAGTTTAGCCTTCCCTGAGTCTTACTTCTGGCGTCTTACAAGTGCAACGCTCGACTTGGTTGATACGACACTAACGTGTCTTGGAGATAAGAGGGAGCCAAGCCATTTATGGCTTTATATGCCAGAAGAAGGATTTTAAACTTTATTCTGTACTCCACAGGAGCCAGTGGAGTGATTTTAACACCGGAGTTATGTGCTCCCTCCTTTTGGTACCTGTTAAGATCCTAGCTGCTGTATTCTGAACGAGCTGGAAGCTCTTCAAAGAGGCTTTAGGGCACGCTGCCAATAAAGCGTTACAGTAGTCGAGCCTTGAGGTGACAAACGCGTGAATACGTTTTTCCGTGTCACTTTTAGGAAGGAAATTCCTGATTTTAGCGATGTTCCGTAAGTGGAAATATGGAAGTTAATTTCATGCTTTTTAATGGTGTTCCCTAACGACAGCATAGGCTCCTCCCCCACAAGCTCAGGCTCCTCCTGCAGTGAGGTAGCGTTCCCACCTCCCAATAGCAAGGTGTTGTGTGCGTAACCCCACGTCACGGTTGTCAATAAGGTGCTGCCCATAGTGGCTTCTATAGAAGTAGTTCTGTTATAACACAAATTGTGACAACTGAACACAGTGAATCACTGGCCATAAAATATCTGATTTATTGACGTATCTCTTACTTCGACAATAGTCTTTTTTTCTCACACCATAAGATCCACTGAAATCACATAACTTCGAGAGGAGTATATTATCAGACAAACTGTTTTCATAATTATTAGGACCCACTTCTTCACTGCAAAAAGTCCAACATCTGAAACATCTGAAACTTCTGAAACACAGAAACCAAACAAGACCAAGAAGAAACATCCACAAAAATAAAAACAGGGGTCACACTGCAGACACGGACTCTGGTTCATCTTTAGTATCGTTAGTATCTTTAGTATCTTTAGTATCTTTAGTATCTTTAGTATCGTTAGTATCTTTAGTATTGTTAGTATCTTTAGTATTGGCTTGTAATCGCTTGCATATTGCTGTTGTGTCCTTGGCTTAGATTGGGGTCATTCAGAGCCTCCATTTTGTACAGGACCAGAAGAAAACTGACATTCCCAAACGCATCGTTGAGGCCTCCTGAAGGTTCCAACATTATTCTTCTGTCTGAAAGTCCTTTCTCCTGGACAACACCATGTATACGTTTGTGAATGTCTTCTAGACACCTTAATGAGAAAATAATGAGACCATAGTTTATAGACAGACCAACGAGACACCAGTGAGAGACCAGAGAGAGACCAGAGAGAGACCAGAGAGAGACCAGAGAGAGACCAGAGAGAGACCCGAGAGAGACCAGAGAGAGAGACCAGAGAGAGACCAGAGAGAGACCCGAGAGAGACCAGAGAGAGACCAGAGAGAGACCAGAGAGAGACCCGAGAGAGACCAGAGAGAGAGACCAGAGAGAGACCAGAGAGAGACCCGAGAGAGACCAGAGAGAGACCAGAGAGAGACCAGAGAGAGACCAGAGAGAGACCCGAGAGAGACCAGAGAGAGACCCGAGAGAGACCAGAGAGAGAGACCCGAGAGAGACCAGAGAGAGACCAGAGAGAGACCCGAGAGAGACCAGAGAGAGACCCGAGAGAGACCAGAGAGAGACCAGAGAGAGACCAGAGAGAGAGACCAGAGAGAGACCAGAGAGAGACCCGAGAGAGACCAGAGAGAGAGACCAGAGAGAGACCAGAGAGAGAGACCATTGAGAGACCAGAGAGAGACCCGAGAGAGACCAGAGAGAGACCAGAGAGAGACCAGAGAGAGACCCGAGAGAGACCAGAGAGAGAGACCAGAGAGAGACCAGAGAGAGACCCGAGAGAGACCAGAGAGAGACCAGAGAGAGACCAGAGAGAGACCAGAGAGAGACCCGAGAGAGACCAGAGAGAGACCAGAGAGAGACCAGAGAGAGACCAGAGAGAGACCCGAGAGAGACCAGAGAGAGAGACCAGAGAGAGACCAGAGAGAGACCCGAGAGAGACCAGAGAGAGACCAGAGAGAGACCAGAGAGAGACCAGAGAGAGACCCGAGAGAGACCAGAGAGAGACCCGAGAGAGACCAGAGAGAGAGACCCGAGAGAGACCAGAGAGAGACCAGAGAGAGACCCGAGAGAGACCAGAGAGAGACCCGAGAGAGACCAGAGAGAGACCAGAGAGAGACCAGAGAGAGACCCGAGAGAGACCAGAGAGAGACCCGAGAGAGACCAGAGAGAGAGACCAGAGAGAGACCAGAGAGAGGCCAGAGAGAGAGACCAGAGAGAGACCAGAGAGAGACCAGAGAGAGACCCGAGAGAGACCAGAGAGAGACCAGAGAGAGACCCGAGAGAGACCAGATAGAGACCAGAGAGAGACCAGAGAGAGACCAGAGAGAGACCCGAGAGAGACCAGAGAGAGAGACCAGAGAGAGACCCGAGAGAGACCAGAGAGAGACCAGAGAGAGACCCGAGAGAGACCAGAGAGAGAGACCAGAGAGAGACCAGAGAGAGAGACCAGAGAGACCAGAGAGAGACCCGAGAGAGACCAGAGAGAGACCAGAGAGAGACCAGAGAGAGACCAGAGAGAGACCAGAGAGAGAGACCAGAGAGAGACCCGAGAGAGAGAGAGAGACCAGAGAGAGACCAGAGAGAGACCCGAGAGAGACCAGAGAGAGACCAGAGAGAGACCAGAGAGAGACCCGAGAGATACCAGAGAGAGACCAGAGAGAGAGACCAGAGAGAGACCAGAGAGACCTGAGAGAGACCAGAGAGAGAGACCAGAGAGAGAGACCAGAGAGAGACCAGAGAGAGAGACCAGAGAGAGACCAGAGAGAGACCCGAGAGAGACCAGAGAGAGACCAGAGAGAGACCAGAGAGAGACCAGAGAGAGACCCGAGAGAGACCAGAGAGAGACCAGAGAGAGAGACCAGAGAGAGAGACCAGAGAGAGACCAGAGAGAGACCAGAGAGAGACCAGAGAGAGACCAGAGAGAGACCCGAGAGAGACCAGAGAGAGACCAGAGAGAGAGACCAGAGAGAGACCAGAGAGAGACCAGAGAGAGAGACCAGAGAGAGACCAGAGAGAGACCAGAGAGAGACCAGAGAGAGACCAGAGAGAGACCCGAGAGAGACCAGAGAGAGACCAGAGAGAGACCAGAGAGAGACCAGAGGAGGTAAAACCATAGTTGATCATATTTGTTAATGATGTCAGTGCGAAAGGCAATAGTTACTAACAGACCTGAGCACTTTGACAACTGACAAACTTATTTATATTATTACTACATTTATTCTGTCCATAGAGTGTGGAGGGGAGAGAGAGGAGAAAGAGAGGGCAAAGTCGTGACATGGGAGAGGAGAGAGAGGAGAGAGGGAGAGGAGAGAGAAGGGAGAAGGAGAGGAGAGAGAGGAGGGAGGAGGGAGAGGAGAGAGGAGAGAGAGTAGAGAGAGGAGAGAGGAGGGAGGAGAGAGGAGGGAGAGGGAGAGGAGAGAGAGGAGGGAGGAGGGAGAGGAGAGAGGAGAGAGAGTAGAGAGAGGAGAGAGGAGGGAGGAGAGAGGAGGGAGAGGGAGAGGAGAGAGAGGAGAGGAGAGAGAGAGGGAGGAGAGAGAAGAGAGAGAGGAGAGAGGAGGGAGAGGAAGAAGAGAGAGAGGAGAGAGGAGGGGGGGAGAGGGAGAGGAGATAGAAGAGAGAGGAGGGAGAGGAGAAAGGAGGGAGAGGGAGAGGAGAGAGGAGAGAGAGGAGCCTCCTGATGCAGGAGGGTCTGAGGATGGTTCATGGAGGTCTTCCTGTTCCCTTTGGGCCGATGGCTCCTCAGTGTTTGGTTTGATTCTCTGATCTGTTGTTGGTGAATGATGAACTTTGTGAAGTCCTGCTGAGGTGATTTGGGCCAATACACAATTACACTGAAGTGAGTAGAGTTTATGTGAATGTGGCTTTGACACATGTTGTCGGTCGAACAAAGGAACCATCACACACATGTCAGGTACAGAACAGGTACCCCAGCTTTAACAGCTCAATAATGTGGCAGAAAGAACAGACTCAACCTCCACAGAAGGGCTGAGTCTCAGGCCGGACTCAACCTCCACAGAAGGGCTGAGTCTCAGGCCGGACTCAACCTCCACAGAAGGGCTGAGTCTCAGGCCGGACTCAACCTCCACAGAAGGGCTGAGTCTCAGGCCGGACTCAACCTCCACAGAAGGGCTGAGTCTCAGGCCGGACTCAACCTCCACAGAAGGGCTGAGTCTCAGGCCGGACTCAACCTCCACAGAAGGGCTGAGTCTCAGGCCGGACTCAACCTCCACAGAAGGGCTGAGTCTCAGGCCGGACTCAACCTCCACAGAAGGGCTGAGTCTCAGGCCGGACTCAACCTCCACAGAACGGCTGAGTCTCAGGCCGGACTCAACCTCCACAGAAGGGCTGAGTCTCAGGCCGGACTCAACCTCCACAGAAGGGCTGAGTCTCAGGCCGGACTCAACCTCCACAGAACGGCTGAGTCTCAGGCCGGACTCAACCTCCACAGAAGGGCTGAGTCTCAGGCTGAGTCTCAGGCCGGACTCTCTCGTCTCTTTCTTGTCTCGCCAAAGATTGGGCAATAAAAACTGAAAAATTGATTTTGTGAAAAATGTTAAAATTGTGAGATCGCATGAAGGATATTGTGAGACCTATATCAGCACAGTCTGTAAAAGACTATATATACATATATACATATATACATATATACATATATATATATATATATATATATATATATATATATATATATATATATATATATATATATATATATATATATATATATATATATATATATATATATATATATTATAATACGTATTGGGGGAAACAAATTAAAAATAGTTTTGAAACTTGAATATTCAGTGGAAAGATTAAAACATATTTTTAAGGGAAAAGTCTGTTTTCGGTGACTTTAATGAAACTTGATTTAAAATCAAAATTGTCCAAAGCAGGAAATAAAATCGAGGTTTTACTTTTTTGCCATATCGCCCAGCCCTAGCCCTGGTCTCTTTGTGGTCTGTGGTCTGTGGTCTCTGGACTCTGGACTCTGGACTCTGGTCTCTGGACTCTGGACTCTGGTCTCTGGTCTCTGGTCTCTGGACTCTGGTCTCTGGTCTCTGGTCTCTGGACTCTGGTCTCTGGTCTCTGGACTCTGGTCTCTGGTCTCTGGTCTCTGGTCTCTGGACTCTGGTCTCTGGACTCTGGTCTGGGGTCTCAGGTCTGGCTCTGTCCGGTCCGTGTTGCTGTGGTGACGTGGTCCATAGTTACACATACAGTTGATCACAGACGCACACCTCCAGAGAAAACACTACACACACAGTACACACGCACAAAGCCACGGCCTCATGCACTTTTCCATCAAATACTACGACTATGAGTTTGGGCTCGTGACGCTCGGCTCGCACACAGACACGTGTGTCAGGGACAAATGCTAATGCTAATGCTCTCTACCCGCGTAGACTTGCGGATTTAGGACTAGACACAAATACATTGACTTGAATAGAATTTGTGTTATAAGAGAAATCTTACAAAGTGTCCTTCAAAAGGTGAAAGAGTGGAATTAGTAGAAGTCCATGGTTTTTGTCTACAATTTTGTTTTATTTTATTTTTCAAATGTTTTAATTTTTTTTGGGAAGAGGCTGTTAGCTGTGATGCTAAAGCTTCGTTTAAGCTAAAGCTTTGTTAAACCTGATGCTAAAGCTTTGTTAAGCTTTTAAGAAAGCTAAAGCTTTGTTAAAGGACAGCAGTGACGTGTGTCGCGAGCGCGGAGCACGACGAGCCTTGAGTCCATTATTGCACATTATCACAAAGGCAAAATAAAAAGATTTTCACACACATTATTTTCCTCTTGATGACTTATGATGATTTTTCTATACATTTCTCTTGGTTTTAGTCCGGAAGCCCTAACGTGAAGGCCTCCACCAGCCCCTCGATGGAGTGGATGAGTCCAGAGATGGCACAGATCCCGCCCACGAAGAAGATGGCGACGTCGAAGAAGACGTGGTGCCAGAGCAGGTTCCTCCACTGCAGCTTCAGGTGGAACAGACTCGGCAGCAGGAAGGCCAGGCCGGCGCCCGTCAGGCTCCCCGTCAGCCCCATGAGGAGCGCAAAGTGTGGCACGAACACCGCCATGAGTAGCGTGAACACCACCAGTGCCACACGCAGCCCCAGCCCCCAGCTCTTCAGCTGCCCCCCAGGACCATAACAGTCTGGGAACAGCGCCCTGCCCCCGTCCTGGAACAGAGACTTCTCCAGAACCTCCACCGCGGCGAAGAACGGCAGCGGATACGAAAGCAGCGCCTTGGACACCAGAAACAAGTTGACCACGGCGCGGATGCCGTACGGCAGGTTGTCCGTGATCACTTCTTTGGTGGCGTCGGCCCATGTAAGGTACGCCACCAACGCAAACAGGCCTTTTAAGACGCAAGCGGCTATGTGGGTCCAGTCCATCATGCAGTGGAACTCGCTGGGCCGCTGCATGTTGCCCTCTAGTGACGGTAAGAAGATCTGCGAGGTGTAGCTGAACACGATGATCCCGATGGAGATGGGGAACTTCTTCACGTCGATGTAGAACTTGACCTTCTCCCAGGCCCACTCCCGAGCGCGCGACAGGCAGTACGCAATCACCAGGAAGTTAATGACGAAGTGAGCCAGCGTGCACAACAGGCTGAACTTGGACACGGCTTTCAGGTTCTTGATGAAGGCGCACGGGAGGAGGGCAGCTGTGGCTACGACCGACCAAGCCTTCTGCGACACGGGGAACCCAGGGAAGCTGTTGTACATGAGGTTCCCGCTCACCACCACGTACAGGATGCAGGTCATGACCAGTTCAATGAGCTGTGCCACGTTGACCACGTGTCCTCCCAGCGTGGGGAAGCGCGGCGCGCAGCAGGCGTTAGCAATGTCCACGTAAGAGTCTCGCACTCGCACCAGGACGCCATCCTCGTTCTCCTCGTACAGACACGCGATCAGGATCTTCCCCGTGTAGCAGCACACCACCGCCGCGAAGATGATGAGGAAGAGTCCCAGGTAACCGCCGTGGAGGATGGCGTAGGGCAGGCCCAGCACGAACATGCCCTGAGGACGAGACATCACCAGACAAGTCAGAGACGAGTTAGAGACGAGTTAGAGACAGACCAAGGGACACAACGGGGACAAGAGGGGACAGAGACACAGATAAAGAGACACAGAGACAGAGACACAGAGAAAGAGACACAGAGACAGAGACACAGAGAAAGAGACACAGAGACAGAGACACAGAGAAAGAGACACAGAGACAGAGACACAGAGAAAGAGACACAGAGACAGAGACACAGAGCCAGAGACACAGAGACAGAGACACAGAGACAGAGACACAGAGAAAGAGACACAGAGAAAGAGACACAGAGACACAGAGACAGAGACACAGAGACAGAGACACAGAGACACAGACACACAGAGACAACAGGCACAGAGAGACAACAGGCATCTGTGATACCTATTGTCTCAGTGTATACATTTGTTTATCCACTTTATGATGGACAGGACCAGGCGGAGGAGGAGGCAGGAGGAGGTGGTCCAATACCATGTGGTCTCTCCCTATGGTCCAATACCATGTGGTCTCTCCCTATGGTCCAATACCATGTGGTCTCTCCCTATGGTCCAATACCATGTGGTCTCTCCCTATGGTCCAATACCATGTGGTCTCTCCCTATGGTCCAATACCATGTGGTCTCTCCCTATGGTCCAATACCATGTGGTCTCGCCCTATGGTCCAATACCATTTGGTCTCGCCCTATGGTCCAATACCATGTGGTCTCTCCCTATGGTCCAATACCATGTGGTCTCGCCCTATGGTCCAATACCATGTGGTCTCTCCCTATGATCCAATACCATGTGGTCTCGCCCTATGGTCCAATACCATGTGGTCTCTCCCTATGGTCCAATACCATGTGGTCTCGCCCTATGGTCCAATACCATTTGGTCTCGCCCTATGGTCCAATACCATGTGGTCTCTCCCTATGGTCCAATACCATGTGGTCTCTCCCTATGGTCCAATACCATGTGGTCTCGCCCTATGGTCCAATACCATGTGGTCTCTCCCTATGATCCAATACCATGTGGTCTCGCCCTATGGTCCAATACCATGTGGTCTCTCCCTATGGTCCAATACCATGTGGTCTCTCCCTATGGTCCAATACCATGTGGTCTCGCCCTTTGGTCCAATACCATTTGGTCTCGCCCTATGGTCCAATACCATGTGGTCTCTCCCTATGGTCCAATACCATGTGGTCTCGCCCTATGGTCCAATACCATGTGGTCTCGCCCTATTGTCCAATACCATGTGGTCTCTCCTTAATAATTATAATTAATAAATAAAAATAAATTGGATTTTCCAGTGCGCATGCGCTTCATTGTAACAAAGACTTCAAAGGTTTTAAACAAATTCAATGAAAACCTTTTCACGCTTTAATCCAAACCCATTAAAATTCTAATGAAATTCAAATCTTTTTATCCCGCGAGCACAGGCCGCGCGGGGACTACACGCACGTGCACAAGCCGCGCAGAGACTACACGCACGCGCACAGGCCGCGCGGGGACTACACGCACGCGCACAGTAGCTGGCTTCAATAATCGATACCCGCGCATAGATCCATCTTTAATCTGAATCTGCTGCTGTGCGCGTGGCCGAGGCTCGGGAGCGCGCCCACGAGGCCTGCAGGATGTGCCAGTGCGTAAGATGGAGGCGCGGAGGCCTCACGTCACAGAGAAACATCACTGTCGCTGTTTTTGGGCGAAGAAGCAGTGGATTGGGATTTATGTAAGAAGGAGACGAGGAGATAGGAGATAGGAGACGAGCCGAGGATGTAGGAAGATGCTGCAGGTCCGCGCGAGACAAAGACAAAAAGGATGTATTTATAAATGAATTGTATATTGTGCAAATAGAATGACATTTCAACGATAGAAATAACATGAATAATGAATATAATAATGCTAAAATATAATAATGTATTAATATAATAATATATGATTCCTATTGGACGAATTTCAACAGTGATTGAATAGCACTAAATACATACACTAAATACATACATTAAATACATACATTAAATACATACACTAAATACATACACTAAATACATACACTAAATACATACACTAAATACATACACTAAATACATACACTAAATACATACACTAAATACATACATTAAATACATACATTAAATACATACACTAAATACATACACTAAATACATACACTAAATACATACACTAAATACATGCACTAAATACATACATTAAATATATAGAGTAAATACATACACTAAATATGCACTAAATACATGCACTAAATACATACACTAAATACATACATTAAATACATACATTAAATATATAGAGTAAATACATGCACTAAATACATACATTAAATACATACATTAAATATATAGAGTAAATACATGCACTAAATACATGCACTAAATATATAGAGTAAATACATACATTAAATACATACATTAAATATATAGAGTAAATACATGCACTAAATATATAGAGTAAATACATACACTAAATACATGCACTAAATATATATGTAGTCATTGTTGTATGTATTAATAATAACTAAATCGTAATTATTCCATGTAAACAGCTTTGTGGCGCGTGCCAGGCCTCTCCTCTGTGACGTCAAACCGCGCTGCTTGGAAAGTGAAGGTGACCCGCCATGACAGGTGGGCCGTCAGAGCCACGTGACCCGCCATGACAGGTGGGGCGTCAGAGCCACGTGACCTGCTGACTCCGCACTACGTGAGAGATCAGCTTCAAGGCCCGAGACAGCTCCGTAAGTATCAGGGACCGGGGACCGGGGCCTTCGGTGAAAACGATGGAAACGAGTCGAAACTATCTTCTTCGTCGGAAAAGGGTCTGTGTATGTTTCCTCCGGGTGCGTGTGTGGAGTGACAGACTAATGTAACAACTGTAAACCGCTTTGACTCTGGTCTGCGAAAGGTGCTATATAAATAAACTTTACTTATCTATCTCGGACAACTTTTCCCAGAATGCATTGCTATGAATACAGCTTATAAGTCATCAAAAATGTGTCAAATCTATTTGTTGGTTTGTTTAGCCTTAAGAGACACATCTGAGTCTAGGGTTAGACCTGAGTCTATAGTTAGACCTGAGTCTAGGGTTAGACCTGAGTCTATAGTTAGACCTGAGTCTATAGTTAGACCTGAGTCTATAGTTAGACCTGAGTCTATAGACCTGAGTCTATAGTTAGACCTGAGTCTAGTTAGACCTGAGTCTATAGACCTGAGTCTATAGTTAGACCTGAGTCTAGGGTTAGACCTGAGTCTATTAGACCTGAGTCTATAGTTAGACCTGAGTCTATAGTTAGACCTGAGTCTATAGTTAGACCTGAGTCTAGGGTTAGCCCTGAGTCTATAGTTAGACCTGAGTCTAGGGTTAGACCTGAGTCTATAGTTAGACCAGACCGTAACCCTCCTCATCTTTGATACAAACCAAATCAAAAATCACAGTCTTTGCTTTGGTCTGCATCAAATAGAAAAGAGAACCTTTATTCACCCGACAGTGGAAATGTCAATGTTGTAGGACACATGCAGGACAGTAGGAAGAGCCTCTACATATACCACATATTTACCATGTACCACATTTACCACATACATATACTACATATGTACCATATATACCACAGATATACCACATATATACTACAAATACCACATACAGAGATAAGAGGACAAACGGAAAAACGGAAAAATGTACCAGTATTATGTACGAGGTTTACGCACGGACATTTCCCTTTTTACGCGCGGACATTTCCCTTTTTACGCGCGGACATTTCCCTTTTTACGCACGGACATTTCCCTTTTTACGCGCGTGAATCCACTGCTTCCAAACGCCCCCGCTCTGCACCTCTGCACCAAACCCGCCCCCCGGCTTCCCCGCTCCCCCCCACCACCTCCACGGTACCTGTATAGCGTTGGTCACGTTCCAACCCGCCTCCCAGGTCGTGATCTTGGGCTTGGCCTCCTCCAGAGAGCCGCTGCTTTTGAGCTGGCCCCGGGGCCCTGTGCCGTCGCGCTGGTACCTGCTGTCCCCTTCCGCGTCCCCCCCCGCGTCCCCACTGTCCTCTGTGTTCCCCGAGTCCTCTCTCTGCATCACGTCCATCTGCATCCCCTGCCTGTAGTCGTAGTCCAGGTCATCGCACTCCGCGAAGCCCAGTCCCTCTTCGTCTGTGGCCGCCTGGAAGCCCATCCGAGCGAACACTCCGCTGACCTTGGCCTGAGACTTGTTCGACACCGTGTGGACCGTGTTGGTGATTTTGTTGGAGATTTTGTGGCGAATTAAATGAGCCATGTTTGCGTTTCAACGAGTCACAAAGCGGGAGGAAAAAAGGCTTCCAAATGAGTCGTCCTTTGATCTTTAAAGAAGCCACACAGAAGTCATGGCTGCGTCTAAGAACCAGGCCTCTCCAAAAAAGAAAG